CTACAGAGTTTTCATATGGTGTGACTATAAACGAAGGGACTATAGACAGTAGTTCACTGTATTCACTTGTTGCTTTACTACTCTAATGGTAGATATCATGTTATTTATATATTTAGTAAACTACAGTCTGGACTTGTTTATTTGCATTGATGCGTATGTTAGTTCTCTATTATTATCGTCTATGACAAAGTAAAACGTAGAGACTGTTAATCGCGTTTATAAAACATTTCTTCTTTCATAACTTTGAATACAAAACCCAGCTCGGTCATTTCTGACTTGCCTGCGGTCAACGTTCAACTAAATTCGTCGTTGTGTACAGTAATTGTACTGTAAATTACATGAAGATAAATGTCAACTTGTATATTAGCTTTTAGGATCATACTTGACATTACATTGATCGCATTTAAGAGATGCGCGGTCTCAGTAATGCGGAATGCACCTAAATCTCGAAATATGTGTATAATATCGTGGTGCAATAAAGAATACTTTACATACGAATTGAAAATACAGTGTTGTTGTTCTTGGGTCACATACAATACGTGCATTTGATCATAATAAATAGTATACAACCGTAAATCAAATTTGGTCTTTATAATAACTGAATAGTATACAGCAAGGAATATAATTTCATACTTTATGTCACGTACGCGTGATACAATATACAGTACAATATAGTAGAATACACTTGCTTACTATTACAAACAACATTCGCGTTAGTTATGTATGGAATATGCGTTATCGGGATAAAGATATTGTCTACAATCAATCATTTTTACACCAGTTGGAAATGTTTCAATTTTCAAGTTACGTCCCATAGTATCTAACTTTTCGTCCGAATGTAAACAAACCCAATAAAGACGTAAGTGCTGCTAAATAAAGGTAAGGTAAAGTTAGAATAATTGAATACATTTTATACTAAGTCAATAAACAAGTAAATCATACTAATACTTACATTATCACTGATAGTGAATTCTATAAAAATGCCACCTTCAGACAAAACGTTAACCGCGCATGGTAAAATGTATTCAGCATATTTGTTGCTATTATATTCAATATCCGTATTATATTGTATTTTTCCAGTTGATGTTTTTATCTACAAATCAAATGTAGTTTATTTATTATCATGCAATTAAGACTGTAATCAACAATACTTTCCAATACTTACTGCGAATGTAATTGGCACTGTTGACTTGCAAGGATTTTCCAACAAAATGCCGAGTTTGTATTTATTTGGAGGTACTTGAAAAATTGGTATTGTTAACTAAAATATATTTGTTCATTAGTTAATATTCACAACGTTATACAAACGTCAGACTATTGATTGAACACTTACTTTATTATTCGCATAAAGATCCAAATAGCTATCGTAACTATTAAATAATAAACATTAATAACAGTACATCATAACAAATGATTATTACAAGTTACATACCTCTTGCATTTGGCAGTATCTTTGATATGACTTTCATGCACAAAATGTGCTTTCAGATGACCTAATAATAATAATAATAATAATAATAATAATAATAATAATGAGTATGAAGTAATAATATATAAATTATGTATATGTAATCAAATGCAACCCTTACTTTTATGCATATAATAAATTTTTTCAAAAAACGCAATTATGTTCTTATAATTCCGCGGAGCATTGTTATGCTTGTCATACCAAGATACAGCAGTAGTGTACCATCTGGTGTAATCATCTGTTCCATGCTGATAATTACACAGTGATCTCCATTGATCAATGTTATTCAAGCATTGCATTGCTTTAAGAGAGCTACTATCCATAAGAATTTTGAACCATTCCACATCAAAGTGTTCAATTTTGTTTACATATTCATCAATTACATGAAATGCATATCCTTGCATAAGTGGATTCCCAATATGCCTAATATCTTGTTCAGTTCCTTTTTTATTTCCCAGTCCTACATGTGCCATTAAACTTAAATACCAAGCATCATCATAATTCTTGTTTACTTCAATTGCTGTCTCAATGTCAAACAGGGCTTTTCCAAAATTTTGCATATTTAACTTGATCTTTGCTCTGTTACATAGTGCCACATAATTTATGGGGTCAACTTGTAATATTTGTGTATAGATATCCAATGCCTTTTCCAACTTCTTATTTTGATATGCAATTTTAGCTTTCGGAAACAATTTGTCTATATTTGGTGCTGATTTCCAAAATAAAAATGAACTCCAGCTAGATTCAGAATCATACTTTCTTGTTCTATTCTTTCCTTTTTGCTTTTTAAAGTCATCACACATGTCAAATATTTCTGCATCAGTATTATTTCCAGTATTACCATTATTATTATAGGTGTCCTGATGATCATTGTCTGTAATATACTGTTGAATATTACTGTATATTGTTTGTTGTGGCATATAATACACTTTATCCTTTCTAATTTCACTTCTGCAATAAGGGCATTCTAAGTTGGTTAATGATGAAAGAACCTTTAAGCTAATAATATGTTGACAGTTAAGTTGATAAAAGTCACCAAATGCTTCACAAACAATGGGACATGTTAAATCTTCTGCAATATAGTCAATTGGATTTTTCTCAACACTTTTTCCCTTGTCTTGTTGAGCACTTGTCATTATTTTGCCAGGTGAGCACTCTGAAATCATTTTTGATTCAACTTCTAATTTTTTTTTCAGGTAATAGTACATGCTAACCAATTTTGGTATATATTTCTCATCACAACCAGCAATATCATCAGATGTTGTAACAAACAATTGATTATTTTTGGCTTCAAGACTCAATAACACTTCAATGGATTTGAATTGAATAAATTTTGCATTTGCATTAGTTAATGAGTCTCGTGCTATATAATAACAAATAGCTTGTGTGGTTGCAGAAAATGTTTTCTGGACAAGTTGCTGGACAATATCTAAAATGCCAAACCAGAGTTCATTACTAACATCCTGATTCTCTGCTGCATTTTCAGCATAGCATAAACTGACATGATACCAGAGATACTCAAGGAGCACTCTTTCTTTAAAGCTTGTTGAAATGGCAGACTCTTGTTCACACCATTGATCAAGACTACCTTGTAATATCATAAGTTGTTTCCAGGTTGTATACCATGGTTTGCCTGATGGTTCAACATGAAAGGCTTCTTTAAAACACTTCCAAAATAGTTCAATGTCAAAATCACCAAGTGGGACTTCAACTCCTGTAAATAATTTAATCCCAACTTTAGCTACTCCAGTAACAAGTAAACTTTTTAATGCTGTAATGGCTTGACCAATATTTGTCTGATGCTGGTTTTTCTCACTGCTAATAGTGTTTAATGTATTCTTAATGAGTTCAAGAAGGTATTTACTATTATAATTGCATTTAAAGCTTATGCTAACTTTGTCTGATTCATTAGATCCTTCTCTTCCATGTTGCATAATCATTGAATATGCATTCTTGTATGTAGAAGTGGCTTGCCTAATACCATCAAGAAAGGAATCCGTAAATTGACACTCACTTCGATGCATTTGCTCCAGTATAGCTACAATTATTCGTAATTGCCATTCCAATTTAATAGCTGTTTCCTCTGAAAACACATCATCAAACTCTTGAGAACATAGAGTCTTCAAAGCTGTATTTAAAACCTCTACTGACACGGAATCTCCTTTATGTTCAAGAATGTATTTGAGAGTGTAAATATTCTCAGAGAATTTCAAGTCCGTTAACAGTCCCTTTATTTGTGCGTTAGCTGACATAAGCCCTTGTTCCATTAATTGAAGTATAGCTCTAGGAAAACTGCCGTGAGTGACAGTGTTGTTCAATATTGATGTGGAAGATGTCATAATGGGAGCATTAGGAGCGCTCGCCGTGAGGAAGGTGTCTGCTGCGTAGCTGTTTGTTGAGCCAGAACTCATCGAGTCAGCCGTAAAGGGAATTGAGCTTTCGGGTTTCTACAAAATAAAATACTAATAATTAATAAACGAGTGAGTACTTTCGCATATGCGTTTGCTTTCCTATACTTCATACGCCATTGTGCAAAGTAGTCACTTTCTCAATCTATATATCTTTCGACGATTATATTCTCTATTGTAATTGGCTAAAATTCGCTGCGCTGTGTTATGTAATTTGCATGTCATTGCATAATTATACTGTACGACGTTAAAAGCGTGCGTAATCTTGTAAAGACGCAGGAACCCGAAATCTCATCGTAAAGAGCAACCATTAATTCCGGTCATCATTGTGTAAACAATATTATACAATATTATGTATAGGAATTATACTGTACGACATCAAGCGGGATAAATGTAAATGTTAAGGATAAATTTCTTGACATGGTGTCACATGCTTTATTGTTACCCGTCCGTTACTATTATTATATCATTATTTAGTTACATGTGATGAGAAACCTGCATATTATTATTCAATTGTCTGACCAATCATACTAATAATGGAGTGAGTCTGCATGCTCGCTAAGTCTCACAAAATGAACGCTTTTTGCAAATCAGGTGATTATATATAAGCGCTATAATATTACTATTGTAGTTAGTGGGAAAGAGAACTACAACATAATCGTATTTTATATTTTTGGCTGGTGCGATGACACTCGTTAATATCTTAAATTTATTGGCACTGTTTGAAAATCGATATTCATATGCTCTACTAGTAAATTTTGATACTTTTAACGGGATTAGATCGTTAATATTTTATTGATTGGTAGTTGCCTCGTTACCTATTCATGCGGTTACTCATAATTTAGTTTCAACGAACGAAGATGTCTTTTTTACCTCAAAAAGCTGCAAATTGTTAAAAGGTTCGAACACTATTGCTTCTAATCTGCTAGGTAATAAGTTATAATGGCTGCCACAAATAAGATTTTCTTCTTCATTGTTGGGAAATAGCTTTGGAAAAATAAAGTAACAATGTGCAATACTCATGTAGTTTGTGTTCTTATAGAATTGAGAGGTTCTGATTCAATGAACATGTATAGAATGAAGAAGAGCGTGACATTGAGAGCCGCCATATGATTTCATCTACTTTATACGAACGGAACTTTTTCGCATCGTCTTTTCTCATCGTCTTTTACCGTCATTGACTGACCTTCTGCCTAAGTGGATGTTTATCATCTCATTCATTCTCTCGGTGGGAATTGGCCTCAAGGTTTGATACCCTTGTTATGATTTTCTATGCTGGTCTTATTCTTTGCTGCCGGATGGTTAACTTACAAAGGTGTTGGCTTTGCTTATAGAGAAAACAGGCGGAGATATTAGTTCTATTAGCGTGGAGGTCATAAAGACATTGTTCAAAGATCAGACGTTGTATCGCTGACTGACTTCGGGTTATGGGTTAATTGCCAGCATTTTGTTCTTTCAACCTTGGCATAAGTTGCGAACTTTGTTTGGTGCCATTCCATGTCAATATATTAGACACGTATGCCTCCGTAATACCCACAGCGCCAGGTGAGTAGTCGTAGATACAAGTGTCGAGCATATAAGACAAGTTTTGTCCGAAATTTTTTATCTGTTTGAAATGCATTACTCACTACTTTCTTCCAAACATAGGCTCAATATTGTGATTTGGAGGGCGATTATGAGTAATACGGTGCATGATTGCATCCATGAGCGGTTGGTGATACTAAGTTCGAGTTAACATCCGGCCGGTAAAGTTTTACGCTGTAAACATTACAATAAACTGATAACTAAGAAAAAGTCAAATATTAATGCACGTTCTCATCCCAAACATAGCTTATGTGTCTACAGCAGCGAAATGCAATACAAATGAGGAGACATTCGAGAAGGGTGATTAAATTTCTTTACGGGCGTCTCGGAATCAAAAGTAACTCATCTAGTTCACGTTCAAAATCAAAGCCTACCAACTATAATACCATATTATTAGGTTTATCTCCCGGAGAGGCTGTAGCGATATTATTTATGAAATGTAAAAAGTAAGTTGTTTTTATTACAAAGATATTCTTTACTATTAGTAGTTGAACAGAACATTGCAACGTGAATGTTGCTTCTTATGATTGTCGTCTATAACAAGGCAATTTTGTCAAAAACAGTTCCTTATTCAACGTTTTTATACTCATTTACATCTTGTTCTACTAAATTCGTCGTCGTGTACTGCAATTGCTTAAACTGACTGTAAATTACATGAAGACAAATGTAGTTTATTATTATGGATTAATTCCAGAAATAACTTCACAAGCAATATAGAAGGAAGAGTAGACGAAGTCTTAGTTTCAAGCTTGGCATCAAGTGAGTGCGGGGTGCGTGATATAAAACATGTATTATGCAATAAAGAATATTTCTTGCTTTACGTATGTATACTGGACCGGTACGCTGTGCGTAATCATTTTCAGAATTTGTTCCTCATAATGACTTGAATAGTGTTCGGCGAGGAGATATAATTTCATAATTTAATAATAATGTTACATACTTGTGATAGTAATAGTAAAGATAATTTAATATAAATAGAATACGCTCAACTACAACATGTTCGCGTTAATGTATATATATAGCATATCTTCCAGTAGGACAAGAAAATTGCTTATAATCAATTACTTTTACACCAACTGGAAATGTTTCAAATTTCAAGTTACGTTCCATAGTATCTAACCTTTCTTCCGAATATAAACAAACCCAATAAAGATCAACTCCTGACTAAAATAGAGTTAAAGTTAGAATAATTGAATACATTTCATACTAAATCGTTGAAATAGATAAACCGTGCTTACAATAGTACTGATAGCAAACTCTATAAAATGTCATCTTCAGACAAAACGTTAACTGCGCATGGTAAAACATATTCAGCATAGTAGTTGTGATATTCAATGTCCGTCTCATATTGTATTTCTTCAGTAGATGTTTTTATTGTTGTCTACAAAATCAATGTTTATGTTCGTCATACAATTAAGACTAATAAGAATTCTTATCTGATACTTACTACAATTGTAATTGTTGACCACATCCAATTTTGCAATAAAATGCTGAGTTTGTATTTATTTGGAGGTACTTGGAATATGGGTATTGTTACCTAATATACAATCGTTTATTAGTTAATATTCACAACGTTATACAAAACAATAGACTGTTTTATTGATAATTAATCACTTACTTTATTGGATCCAGTAAGGCGCAAACAATACCCATAACTATTAAATAATAAACTTCAGTAACAATATTTTTATAATAATAGGTATTATTATAAATTACTTACTCTACACATCTACTCCTATCTTCAATGTGACTTTCATGCACACAATGTGCTTTCAGACGACCTATAATAATAATAAATGTAAGTATTTTAGTATGCATAATAATGTATAAATTTATGCAATGAAGTGTAACCCTTACTTTTGTGCATATAGTATACTTTTTCATAGAACCCATCTGTATACATGTAATTACATGGAGCATTATTATACTCGTGATACCAACTTACAGCAGTATCAGTGTTGTACCATATTGTGTAACCATCTGCTCCATACCGATAGTTACACAGTGATTGCCATTGCTTGACATTATCTAACACATACATTGCTCTAGCAAGGTAACTATCCACAAGGAGTTTAAACCATTCTACATCAAAGTGCTCAAGTTTGTTTACATATTCATTAATAACTTCAAATGCCTTTTCTTGCATATCTAAGTGTATAATATGTCCAATATCTTGTTCAGCCCCTTTCTTATTCCCTAAACCTACATGTGCCACCAAACTTAAATACCAAGCATCATCATAAACCTTGTTTACTTCAATTGCTGGCTCAATATCAAACAGAGCTTTTCCAAAGTGTTTCATATCCAACTTGATTTTTGCTCTGTTACACAGTGATTGATAATTTGTGGGATCAACTTGTAATATTTGTGTATAGATGTTTAAAGCCTTTTCCAACTTCTTATTTTCATATGCAATTTTAGCTTTTTGAAACAACTTTTCCATATTTGGTGCTGTCAATGATTTCCAAATTAAACTCCAGGTAGATTCAGAACCATACTTTCTTGTTCTTTCTTAAGGTCATCACAATCATCAAATATTTTTGCATCTGCATTATTAGCATTATATATATAGATGTCTTGATGATCAGTGTTAATGTCTGTAATATAGTGTTGAACATTGTTATATATTGTCTGTTGTGGCATGTAATACACTTTATCCTTTCTAATTTCACTTCTGCAATAAGGGCACTCCAAGTTGTTTAATGATAAAAGAGCCTTTGAGCTAATAATATGTTGACAGTTAAGCTGATAAAAGTCACCAACCACTTCACAAACAATAGCACATGTTAGATCTTCTGCAATAAAGTCAATTGGATTTTTCTCAACACCTTTTCCTTTTCCTTTGTCTTGTTGAGCACTTGTCATTATTTTACCAGGTGAGTACTCTGAAATCATTTTTGATTCAACTTCTAATTTTTTTTTTCAGGTAATAGTATATGCTAATCAACCTTGGTATGTATTTTTCCTCACAGCCAGCAATATCATCAGGTGTTGTAACAAACAATTGATTATTTTTGGCTTCAAGACTTAATAACACTTCAATGGATTTGAATTGAACAAATTCTGTGTTTGCATTATTTAATGAGTCTAGTGCCATATAATAACAAATAGCTTGTGTGGTTGTAGAAAATGGTTTGTGGACAAGTGGCTGAGTAATATCCAAAATGCCAAACCAGAGTTCATTACTAACATCCTGATTCTCTGCTGCATTTTCAGCACAGCATAAACTGATATGATACCAGAGATACTCAAAGAAGCACTCTTTCCTTAAAACTCATCAAAATGTTAGACTCTTTCTGTTGATACCATTCATCAAGACTATCTTGTAATATTATAAGTTGTCTCCAGGTGGTATACCAAGGCTTGTCTGATGGTTCAACATGAAAGGCTTCTTTAACATACTTTCAGGATCTCTCTATGTCAAAATCACCAAGAGGAACTTCAACTCCTGTAAATAATTTAATACCCAACTTTAGCTAATCCAGGAACAGCAACAAGTAAACTTTTTAATGCTGCAATGGCTCGACCAACATTCGCCTGATACTGGTTTTCCTCACTAGAAGCAATACTTAGTGTATTTTTAATGAGTTTAAGAAGGTATTTACTATTGTAATTGCATTTAAAGCTTTTGATGGTTTCGTCCGATATTAGATCCTTCTCTTCCATGTTGCATGATCATTGAATATGCGTTCTTGTATGTAGAAGTGGCTTGCCTAATACCATCAAGAAAGGAACCCGTAATTGACACTCCTTCTAATGCATTCGCTCCAGTATTATTATAATAATTCGTAATCGCCATTCCAACTTAATAGTTGATTCTCTTGAAAACACATTATCAAACTTTCGAGAACATAGACTCTCCAAAGCAGTATCTAACATATCCACTGACACTGAATCTCCTTTATGTTCGAGAATGTATTTGAGTGTGTAAATATTCTCGGAATATTTCAACTCCGTTAACAATACCTTTATTTGTGCATTAGCTGACATAAGCTCTAGTTCCATTAATTGAAGTATAACTTTAGGAAAACTGCGTTGATTTACAGTGTTGCTTTGGTGTTGACGTAGAAGATATCATCGAGGAAATACTGGGAGCACTTGTTTGTGGGAAAGGTGTCTGCTGCATAGCTGGTTGTTGAGCCAGAACTCGTCGAGTCGGTCGTAAAGGGAATCGAGCCATCGGGTTTCTACAAGTAACATGTAATAATTAATAAATGAGCAAGTAGAGTATCTTCGCATATGCTCCCTATACTATACCTCATAGGCCATGGTGCAAAGTAGTCACTTCTCACTCACTAACACAATCTGTCGACGATCTCTATAGTAAATGTTTATAATTGGCTGGCTGTGTTTCATGTTCTATCGATAAATTCCGTATTACTTGCAGTATTATTATTGCTTTGTTTATATTATTATTCAATTGTCTGTCGGTCACTTCTATTCGTTTCGATATAGCATGCAATTACACATTCCGCTATAAAAGTTCATATGAATAGCCTTCTCATATTCGCACTTTCTACTACATACAAAACACCCAAGAACAATGACTACGAGGAAACATTAATCTCGTAACATCCAAATAATTCATAAAGCATATTCTGTCGATTGTAACTGCGGGATCCATTATTAAAACTGCGTATGTATGGCCTTTACTATTACGGATAAAAAATCGATTTTAGCTAACATCAAATCTCAAAGAAAAACTACCACCAAGGCACTGCACCGCATCAACGTACATTGTGTATCAATTCTAATTTTCTAGACATTAAATTTTTTATTAATTTGATGTGTAT